GGGACAGAATCCGGCGCCCCAACCGGGACTAGAACCCGGTGTGCCGGCGCCGCTAGGCAGAGGATTAGCCTATTGAGCCGCGGCGCCGGCTGAACTTTAGACTCTTCATATTAAAAACTAACATTTTCATTCCACAAATATTTACTGAGTAGCTACTCCCTGTGAACACTCTTCTAGGTGTGTGTGTCTGTGTGTGCATTGAGCCAAACCAGAAAGCAGTCACAGAGCAAGCCAGGTGGGGGTTAGGAAAAGACCTTCCTAGGCAGAGGGCACTCGTCCTGGGAAGAGATAAGTTTGGTTTGTCTGATGAAGAGCAATGGCTCAGGGTGAGTAGGGAAGTGATAGCAGATGAGGTCAGAGAGACCACGGGGTCAGACCGCGCAGGACCTTGAGGGCCTCCGTACCTCTGATTTCACTGGGAGCCAAGGGCAAGTGCTGAGCAGGGAAGTTCCCTTCTGACTGCTCCCGGTAGGGGAGCAGAGCAAAGGGCTGGGCCTGGAGACCAGCTAGGAGGAATGACAGACTGCTGGTGCCCTTGCTGCTCATCTACCCTTTCTTTCTTTGGTGATAGAACAATGACTTTGTTTTTTTCAAGAAATGTGCCCACATGAAATGTAGATCCCTAGCACTCTGCCCTTAAAACTAGACACAGCTCTGTGAGTTAGTTCTGGCTGTTAGAAAGAGTTCTAGCACTTTTGGGAAACTGCTTAAAAAGAACTGACTCTGTTAGGAAGAGGGCTTTTCTCTCTTGCTTCTTCATGCTGCTAGTCTGGAACATAAAAATAATGGCTGGAGCTCCAGCAGCAACTGTGCTTCAGTGGGAGACCTTTAAAATAGAAGCTGCATGATAAGATAGAAAGAAAACTCATCCAGGTCCCTGATGATACCACGGAGACACCACAGCAACTCTGGGCTGCCGATTATAGGACTTGTTTCATATGAGAGAGAAATAACATTCTCTTTTGTTTAATCCACTGTCTTTTTTTTTTTTTTCTACTATGAATAGCTAAACCTGAACATCACTGATAAAGGAAGCTGATATAACAATCCAAATGAGAAATGATGGTGGTGTGGATCAGGGTGGTGGCAAAAGAGCTAAGAGCTAAGATTCTGACATTTTTAAAAAATATATTTATTTATTTATTTGGCAGAGGGGGACAAACACACACACACACACACAAACACAGAGAGAAAGAGAGAGAAATATCTTCCATCTGCTAGTTCACTCTCCAAGTGGCCTCAACAGTCAGGGCAGAGCTAGACTGAAGCCAGGAGCCGGGAGCTTTCTCCGAGTCTCCCACATGAGTGCTAAGACTCAAGCACTTGGGCCATCCTCCACTGCTTTCCCAGGCAGATTAGCAGGGAGCTGGATCATAAGTAGAGCAGCTGAGACTTGAACCGGTACCCATATGGAATGCTGGCATCGCAGGCAGTAGCTTTACCCAGCTATGCCACAATGCTGGCCCTAGTTACTGTTTTTGAAGGTAGCGCATAAAGAATTTCCAGATGGTCTAGCTATAGGAGTGAAGGAAGGAGAAAGGGAGAGTTCTGGGATTGGGGCCCAAGAGACTAGATAATACTGTTGCTTGTGGAGATGCAGCAGGCTAGGCAGGGAGCAGCCTTGGGTGTGAGGTTGGTGTTGGTGTTGGTGTGGGAAACAGAGTCAGTGACAGACTTGGCATTCACCAAAGCAGGACCTCATGGAGACGGGAGGAATGGCAGAGAGTGTGGGCACAGCCTGGCGGGGAAGTGAGTGAGCTCCTGTCTTGCCGCTTCTATTTTTCAGTGAAGTGCAGGGCAAGGTCATCAGCTGAGACTGAAGGCGTGGAAGTGAAGAGTGGAGACGGGAGGTTGGAGGAGAGAGAAGCCGTGGGAGTGGGACTCCTGGGCAGCAGTGAGTGAGCATCCACTGGAGAGTTACGCTCTCCAGAGAAGCCAGCGAGCAGAGCCGTGCGCTTTCCTTTGACCCAATCCAGTTGCACAGTTGGGATTAACCAAGCCTGGGTTTCTCCAGGCAAGTGCTGTGGGATAGACAATGAGAAACACAAGGGAATGCAAGAAAGTGATCGTAACAAGGGATCAGGAAGAACACTGGGCCAGGAAGAAATTAAACACATGAGGGGGTAAAGAATAAAGGAGTTCAAGGTCCTTGGAAAGATGCAAAAAGCCCTGGAGTGTGCCCACCAGAGATCCTGGGTGGAGGGATAGGAGGGGTGATGGCTGGAGGCCACAGTGGTTTTGGGGACCAGTGTTTGGCCTGGTGGTAAAGACACCACTTGGGACCCCTACATCCCGTGTCAGAGAGCCTGGGTTCAGGTCTCAGTTTCATCCCCAATTCTAGCTTCCTGCAGAGGCAGCGGTACTTGGGTTTCTGCAACCTGCCTGGGAGACCTGGTTTGAGTTCTGGGCTCCTGGCTTTGGCCTGGCCCAGCCCTGGCTGTAGCAGGCATTCGGGGAAGTGAATCAGTGGATGGGAGAGAGCTCTGTTCATCTGCCTGTCAAATACATTCTAAAAGAGAGAGAGAGATTGTGGAGAAGGTTGACAGTGAGGATAAATTCAAGCGAGTCACCAAGGACCAGAGTGGGTGGCCCAGGGGGCAGAAATGAGAAGATGCTGGAGGGGCCAGTATTGTGGTACCGTGTGATAAGCTACTCGGGATGCCCGCATCCTTTGAGTGCCCCTTTGAGTCCCAGCTACCCTGAATTCAACTGAACTCCCTGCTGATGCCCCTGGAAAGCAGCAGATGATGGCTCCAGTGCTTGAGTTCCTGCCACCACAGTGGAGACCTGGATTGAATTTTGGGCTCCTGGCATCCCTGGCTGGAGTGGACATTTGGGGAGAGAACCAGCAGAAGGAAAGAAAATCTCTCTCTTTCTCTATATTGCTCTATCAAATAAATAAAGAATCAATATTTTAAAAAGTCACTGGAAAGAGAAGCAATTGAGAAGCCTAGAGGGTGGAGCTCTGGGTGTTGCATGAAGTACTGGTTCATTAAAGTTTAAACCTAATAATACAAGCTGTTCATAAAGTCCTATACTTAGTAGATCTACTACATGGTTCAAATAAAGATACCATTCATTAGTACAAGCATTTAAACAATTACTTGGAGGGACATTTATGGGACATCAGAGGACACAGTTCTATCCAAACGTCCAAGCTTTTGTTGGGGTAAGGCACAGGGCATTTTCCCACGTGCAGCTGTCTGTCTTGATGGTTTGGCTTTTCCTTCTGGGGTTTTTAGGCAGCCAGGCCAGTCACGCAGCCTTCTAAACACTGACCCTTTTTTTCCCTCTAAAATTCCTGTCCTTGACCCACTCTTTTAAGGTGGACGGTGCCCCCTTGTCCTCCCCTCTTAACTTTTTCAGTTTCTGCTTCAACGTTTCTCCCCACATTTACTTCCTTTGTCACATGGCTGCTTCCTTTCTCCCTGCTTCTCAGATTCCTCTCCTTAGGAGAAAGAATTGGAAGGTTCCCCCATCCCAGGCGTGGGCAGTGAGAGCAGGCCTGGGGAGACAGCGGGTTTTGTGCAGTATTGTGCATCCAGCCAGTGTTCAGATTACTGGGTCAGGCCTTAGGGCCTGGTCCTTGTGGGTCCCAGGTGCTCTCTGACACGTGAAACAGGGCTTTGCCCCTCGGGTCTCCTGGTCCCTCTGCATAGACTCAGAAAATGGGAACAGGCATCTATCCAGGGCTACCCATGAAACTAATGGGCAATGACGGATGATTGGCATTCACATTCCTGAAATAGGCATATTAACCCAGATACTCCCTGATTCAGGGGATAAATGTGGGACGCACCATTAGCACTCCATTTGGGAGTTCTTGCAACAGAACCAAGGGGCCCCCCACGCAGCAGCCTTTTCCCTTAGAAAGTGGGTCAGAACAATGTAACATCTCAAGTAACCTGCTCACCTGTAACTCGCTTCAGCTCTTGAACTTGGTGTCCTTTCACCCAGGTTTCAAGTCATGCACGGGAGATACTCATCTGTAGATTAAACCACAGAGTACTTTTCTCAAATCGTAATCTCTTCCTACTCCCTGTAAGGGTTTTCCGGAGCAGGCTTGGAATCACAGAAATTGTCGGCTCCTGATTCTCCCTTTAATCTTGTGTTACGGGAACACAGAGAATGAGAAGGGAGCCCGGGAAGAGAAGCTCCACAAACGAGGTTTAGGGTCTCAGTATGGCCCCTCACTAAGGGCCATCCCCACGCCAACGACCAGGAAAAGGGCCCGGCTGCGTGGGCTTGAGGGTCAGAGATTTGAGCGCGGCTCCCAACCCCACTCCTCCTGGCTCTGGGACCCTGGGGCAAGGCACAGGCGCCCCAGGTGGCACAGCTTCTGCAGATACATTGGTAACCAGCTGTTCGTCAGAGAGCCTGGCCAAGCACCAGCTGTGGTGCCCCAGGTTCCGTCCCGCCCCGAGCCTTCCTAGTGGCGACCCAGGCGGCCGGGGAAGGAGGTGCGGAAGGGGACCTGCCCTTTCCCCTTGGCGACCGCTGCGGGCCCTCTCCGTGCGCGGCGGGGCGCAGCTGCGGGAGCGCAGGGAGACAGGGTCCTCTCGGCCTCTCTCTCCCAGGGGGCCGGGGCGCCGAGCCGCCCCCCCCCCCACGGGGTGGGGTGGGGGACACGTTTAGTTTCTAACTCCCCCCACCGGCGCTCTCTGCAAAGTCACACAGCCAAGTCTTGAACCGAGACGCCAGCAGGGCGCGGCGGCCTCTGGGAAGCAGGTCCAAGGGACAAGTTTCGGAGCGCAGAGCGCGCACAGAGCGGCGAGCTCCGTGGCGCTCCTCCCTGCCGTCCAGTTTTTAGGAGAGGGAAGCCGGCGGGCCCCAAGAGGTCGCTGGCGATGCAGGAACCGAGGCCAGATGGTTGGAGAAAGGGGGAAGGCACGCACACACAAAACACACCCAGAAACTTTCTTCCTCGCGGCGGCGGAGACGCGCCGCCCCCGGCCCCCGCAGCCGCGGTAACGTGACACCGAGCGCGCCCCGGGGACCGCGCGGCGCGGGCGGGAGAGCGGGCCGAGGCGGCGGCGCCGCGCCGGAGGGAGAAAGGGGAGGAGGCGGAGGAGGAAAACCCCTGTCCAGGAGGTGGAGCGAGCGGACGGTGTCCGCCTCCCGTTCCTCCCTGCCGTCCCTCAGAGGAGCCTGAGCCGGGACAAAACACGCCGAGACCCACAGACGCGCGCGCACACACACACGCGCACACAAAGCCGGGGGTCCACGCTGGCGCTGAAGGCGAGCCCCGGCGGCCGCGAGCGAGCCCGAGGCGCGGCGGGGCACGGGGCGCCGAGCCGCTGAGCGCGCGCGCGCGGGACGGACGCGGGCGGCGCCCGCAGCCGAGGCCGGGCAGCTCAGGCGCTCGGGCCGCGGCGGGCGGCGGGGACCATGCAGAGGAAAGTCTCCTGAGCCCGGCAACTTCGGCCCCGCCCCACCCCCACCCGGCTGCCCGCGGCGCGGCGCGGCCCTCCCCATGCGCGGCCGGCCGGCCGGGCTCTCCTGCAGGCGGCGGATGGGTGACCTTTTCCTGGCCCGGGCCGGCTGTGCGAGGCGGCGGAGCAGGCGATGAAGAAGAAGCAGCAGCCGCAGCCGCAGCAGCAGCAGCATCCCGGCGGCGGCGCGGATCCCTGGCCCCATGGGGCCCCTCTGGGGGGCGCCCCCCCGGGCCTGGGCAGCTGGAAGCGCCGGGTCCCCCTGCTACCTTTCCTGCGCTTCTCCCTCCGGGACTACGGCTTCTGCATGGCCACGCTGCTGGTCTTCTGCTTGGGCTCCCTCTTCTACCAGCTCAGCGGGGGACCCCCTCGATTCCTGCTCGACCTGCGGCAGTATTTGGGTAAGGACGCGCGGCGGGCGGCGGCCGCGCAAAGTTGTGTCCCGGGGTAAGGGGGCGCGCCGGGGACCTCTCGAGCGGCCCCCCAGCCCGCCGCCGCTCCGAGGCTGCCCAGATGTGACACCCGCCACCTTCAGCGCCGGCGGGTTGCGGGGGACCCGGCAGATACCCCGGGTGGGGCGCCGTCCACCTGCCCCCGCCCGCCCCGCACTGGGGCAGGATGGATGCGTGCGTGGTTGTGTGTATTCAGGCCCGGCGATGCGGGAGCAAGCATGGGGGAGACAGTCCGTTCCATGACAGCGTTGGGGACCACCATCGCGTCGGGTCCCGCGCTCCACAGTGTGCGGGTGGGTGTAGCCCTCGGTCTGGTCCGTCCCGCTCCTTGGCCTGGCCCTTGACAGCCCCTGCTCACCTCGCCTTCCGCAGCGAGCGTGTCCGAGCGAGCTGAGCCCCTGGGACTGGGGCCGTCCGGGGGCGTGTGGATCAGCGAGGCCAGCAGGGTCGCCGCCTGTGACCCGACTGCGCGCCGTGCTGTGTGCGTCTCGAGTGAGAACTTTTGTTGTTGGTTGGTGGCGGTTTGGGAGCGAGACCTCCTGTCTTAAGAAGAGGGAAGGGAGGGGTCGCGGCGGTGGAGACCAGAGTCGCTCAGCGAGTAGGCAGGAATGGCGCCTCCCTCGTCCTGGGCCCGGGGAGCGCACGCCAGGTCCCGGGGACGAGTTTGCAGAGCACTCAGATTTGTGGCCAGAAGACGCGGTGCCAGGAGAGCCGCGCAGAGCCCCAGTCTGCTGCAAACCTCGTAGATGACAAACGCGAGCGGCATCCGGCACCTGCACCGGGACAGCGAGCGCCGAAACGGGATGGGCTGGCTGGAGGCCGCCGCTGTGACCCCAGGTGTGCCTTCGCCATCGCCGAAGCCACGGGTCTAGAGAACAGAGCGTTTGGCAGGAAAGCAAGCCCGCGCGCGCGCACACACACACACACACACTCACACACGCGCGCGCCTGCGAAGTGACAAACGTGTGAGGGCGTTTGGAAATAACACAGAGAAAGCACAGTTTTTCCCATGTAGAGGAGCTCAGATTGGAAGTTACAACTTTTATATCAGCAAAAATGGTGGGACGCCATGGTTTTGCAAGATGAGTTAGGGAAAAGTAAAGGGAAATACTGCCCGAGTAGCTTTCCAAAGTATTAATGCTTAGCACCTGGTTTCATAGAGCATTGGAGATATAATATGCCTTTTTATTAGGGACTCAAATCTCTTTTTTTTCTGCAAGTTCCACATTTTGGCATTTCGCAGTCACCTACTGCTGTCAGGAAGAGGACTGATTGTCCCCGCCCACAGCCATCATTACTGACTGGCTTGGGGAGGTGAGTGGTGTTGGTGCGCATTAGCCTTTCTCTGTAAAATCAGGTAATTTTTTCCCCAGAAGCTTCCTAGAAGCAAGGCATAGAGGCCAGAGTTGTAGGGGACAGTACAGTGGTCAAGGGTGCAAAAGGACTCTTCAAGAGCCCTTGACCTTGGTTAGGACCCTGAAACTTCCCAGGTTTTGGCTGTTCGTGGTGATAGGTGGTTTCTTTTTTCTTTTCTTTTTTTTTTTTTTCTTTTTTGACAGGCAGATTGGACAGTGAGAGAGAGAGAGACAGAGAGAAAGGTCTTCCTTTTGCCGTTGGTTCACCTTCCAATGGCTGCCGCGGCCGGTGTTCTGCGGCCAGCATACTGCTCTGATCCGTTGGCAGGAGCCAGGTGCTTCTCCTAGTCTCCCATGGGGTGCAGGGCTCAAGCACTTGTGCCATCCTCCACTGCACTCCCTGGCCACAACAGAGAGCTGGCCTGGAAGAGGGGCAACCGGGACAGAATCTGGCGCCCCAACCGGGACTAGAACCTGGTGTGCCAGCGCCGGGAGGCGGAGGATTAGCCTAGTGAGCCGCGGCACCGGCGATAGGTGGTTTCTAAAACCTCTACCTAGCTTGCTCCCAGGAGGTTGGGGTTCTGAGATCTTCCTTGGGGAAGCGAGAGCAGGAGGGGAGGAAGAAGGAAAGCCTGGCAGCTTGAGTTTGTATCGCATACACCATCACCTTTTCACTGCTGATTCCAACCACTGAGGAGGCCTGGGCAGTGTGTGCGGTCGGCGGACGGGAAGTGGATGGGGCAGCGCTCGTGCCAGGAACCAGAAAGGTTAATGCTACTCCCTCTACCAACTGACCGCTGAGATGGGTTAAAACATGACCTCACTGTGAACTGAAAATAGGACCTCCTTAGCCAAATTTGTTTCCTGTTGTTTTGTCACATAAATATCTTGATTTTCAGGAAAAGTGGGCTTGCGGTCTTTAGGGTGGTCTAAAATATGCCCTGAATAATATCAGGCCAGGGGATCTGTAGAATTACACCCCCCTTCCTCCATTCTATCATTTTAGTGTCTGTCAAAACAAATTCACGGCCAGTAAACACATTCTCGCGATTTTCTTGGTCAGCCAGTTTGAGAGGCAAGTGTTTTTCTTAAGGGTGACTTCACTTCAAGTCAAAATTTTCCAAATAAAAACAATTTCATAGCAAGACTTTTTTCTTTACAGAGTACTAGTTCAGTATATTTGCACAGTATCCTATGTCTGAGGCTAAGTAGGCACTCAGTAAATACTGGCTGAATTAATGACCAAATGGGAGTAACTGTGTTTAACAGATGACCTCTTCTCATGGGACAGCCAAGGTGATGGAGGCATTTGTGATGAAAGCTACCATGCAGTGCGCATGTGCCCGCCAGTGCACAGGCAGAGAGAAACTGAACGCATGGAGCAACACTGGTGGAAGGTTCTGTGGTTATCCTCGTGTTTTATATGAGAGGCATGATGCTAAAGATGTGTGAAAGATACACCCCAAGTAAGGCAGGACTGAAACCCAAGTCCTTCTGATTCCAGTGCCCATTGCCAAGCACCCTAGGCTGCTCAAGAGACAAACTGGAAATATAGCCAACATGCCCATGGCAATCTAGAGAGCTGACTGGCTGTAAATGATCATTATTACCTACATGATTTCCCTTCCCTTTTCTTACTTTTACTCTGGGGGTCCTGGGGGGCCAGCAGAATGGAATACAATCCAGCAGCTGTTGCATTGTGCTTCCTCCAGTTACTGGGGAACTCGACTCTCCCTGAGCTGCAGCAGCTGGAGGCGATGTGAATTGGAATGGCAACTACCTGGGCTGCCTGGCTGCCTGCAGCAGCTGTTCTGTGTTGAGGCGCCAGTTCTCAATGGGGGTTCCTGGGGCCTGCAGCATCAGCATCACTGGGAGTTTGTTCTACATGTAGTTTCTCAGGTCACATCCTAGACCTACTGCATAAGCCCTGGCCTGGCCTGAGCAAGCGTTGCTTGAGCAGGGCTCCAGGTGCCCCTGCTGCAGGAGAATGTTCCAGAGCCATTGTTCTAGAAGAAACTGCTGCCTTCAGGAGGGCTCTCACAGATTCAAGAGAAAGGGGGATGGGAGAGAGGAGATTTATGGAGTATTTTTAAAGGTCAGGTACATTGATTTCGTTGTTTAATTTTAACTTTGAGAAATGCATCTGCTTTGCTACTTAAGCCCCGTTATTTCAAGGGAAAGACCAGCCAACAGCTGCAGTCCCAGCTGGCTTTAGACTTCTCTAGGTTAGGAGAGGCATGGAATGGGGTGAGGGGAGGCAACCAGAGAGTCACGTGTTGGGGGAGCAAGAGAAAGGAGTCATGACCAAGCTTTCTCTCCACTATAGCAGCCAGTGCCAGGCAGCTCCTTCTTCAGATCTGTTTGGAGAAGGGCAGAGTATGTGTCTTCAAGATCTTTCAGCTGCACCAAATTTGAAAAGATGAAAGGAAGTTGGGGGATGAAAATTATGCAGGAATAACTGTTGTCTCATGTTTCCCCCCCTCAAAATGGGTGAACAGAGGTGACAGAGGAAGAGAGTGAATGCTGCACTTGAACGTGGAGGCCATGCTGTTTCCAGTTCGGTGAAATCCACTTTTTTTAATTGAAGTGGCATTTAGTCTTTGACTTGCTATGGAAAACCAACAACAATCAAATGGAAACTCCCCCAGAAATTAGCTTGTGATGCAGCCTTGCTGCCAGTAGTCTCATTGCTTATGAGCTGTGGAAATATCAAAAACTTGGAATAACATTCATTACATTGATAGAAACAGAATCAGCCAGATGGCTTACTATTGATCTTGTACAATTGGCAAACTCTAACGATTTATCCTCAAGCCTTGGGTGTGTGCTTAGCCTTTATGGGAGTTAAATCTTTGGGATTGAACTTGGGTGAGTATGCTTTCCTTTCCATTTTTAATTTTACCACTTTAAATGCGGGTATAATGGCTTAGTTCTCAGAGTCACCAATCTTTACATGTATTATATGTGAGCCTGGCACTCCAGTGTCAAGAAATGAAAAGTATGTCATTTTATTGAATTTGAAATTCTCTAAAGTTTAAGTGAGTTTCAAGGAGAAGTAAAAATAGAGGCCCAGATCTGTTACAAATAGTCTCTCAACCTTCAGAACCAGATTTTATTTTTCTTCTGCATATCATGCATGGTTTAAATATAGCACTTCAGGTTTCAAACAGTAATCTAGGAAATGAATGTATAAAATGTGATGTTATCAATAGAAGTTGTTGACATAGAAAAAATGACACTCTTGTTTATGGCTGCAAATTTCTCTTGTAGGGTTGGTTGGGGACACAGTAGCACTGCAATAGAGGAGGAATGGAAAATAGAATTTATGGCAATCTGTTCTGCAAACACATGGCAGGGATGGTGAAAAGCACACTGCCTTGTAGACTATTTTTAATGTAGACTGGTCTCAGTATGAATTGTTAAAAACACATATAAATATGGATTATCTGGATACCGTCTTTCTTCAGATTCTCTGTCACTGATCCAGGTTTAAGACACTAGTTGGTTTTGTTTGGGAGAGACTAGAAATTGGTCAAGCTCTTTGAGTCCCAAAAGAAATAGTATCCTTTGCTTTCCCAGCAAGAAGCTGGAGGA